AAGTCCATGGAAAGCTATGGTGTGAGTACGAAATCAAAGGATCCAGAAGCGAAGGCTACGCATACGTGACGCCTCACAACTCACTGCTTGGACTTGAGTGGATCCAGAATAACGAAGATATGTCCTATCACTTAAGCAGAATGGCTGCCGAAGTGAAGACAGAGCAAACCAAGGACATCGCTCTGAAGCTAAAGAAAACCTACCCAGAAGTCTGCGAAGAAGGTCTAGGACTCTGCACAAAAGAGAAAGCGCACTTGAGAGTTAACGAAAACGTTCGTCCAGTATTCAAGGCTTGTAGGCCTGTCCCCCATGCTGCGCTCGAAGCCGTCGAAAAGGAGTTGGATAGACTACTGGAACTAAAGGTCATAAGTCCAGTGACGCACAGTGAGTGGGCAGCTCCGATCGTATGCGTCAGGAAGGCGAATGGAAAGTTGAGAGTGTGTGCCGACTTCTCAACTGGACTCAACAAAGCGCTGGAGTCGTATGATTACCCGTTGCCATTGCCGGAGGATATATTCGCATCCCTCAATGGAGGCACGGTGTTTTCGCAGATAGATTTGTCGGACGCCTATCTGCAAGTGGAGTTATCAGAAGAAACGAAGAAATTGGTTGTGATCAACACACATAGAGGCTTGTACCAGTACAATAGGTTGCCTTTTGGCATAAAGACAGCACCAGGAATCTTCCAACAGATAATGAATAAGATGGTGAGCGGTTTGCAAGGTGTAGCAACCTACCTGGACGACATACTGGTCTGTGGAAGAACCGAAGAAGAACATATGGCGAATTTGCTAGCTGTTTTTGCAAGGATAGCCGACTATGGATTCAGGATTCGCTTAGAGAAGTGCTCTTTTGGCAAGCCAGAGATACGATATCTTGGCTTCATAGTAGATCGAAATGGCAGAAGGCCAAACTCAGAGAAGATCGAAGCAATCAAGAAGATGGATGAGCCGAAGAACGTTAATCAATTGAGAGCTTTTCTTGGCATGGTGACGTACTATGCGACGTTCATGCCAAAGATCAAGGATCTTCGTGGGCCATTGGACGCGATGCTCAAGAAAGATGCGAAGTGGGAATGGACACGAACACATCAAGAAGCCTTCGAAAAGCTCAAGGGTACATTGTCAAGTGAGCTCAATCTTGCTCACTATGATCCAAGACAGAAGATCGTCGTGGCAGCGGACGCCAGCGATTATGGAATTGGATGCGTGATATCGCACAGATATCCTGATGGATCCGAAAAGCCAATTGCGCATGCATCGCGGTCTCTTACGAAAGCAGAAAAGAATTATTCGCAGATCGAAAAGGAAGCATTGGGAATTGTCTTTGCTGTCAAGAAATTCCACAAGTACATATTCGGACGAAAATTTCTACTTCTAACGGACCATCAACCATTGTTAGCCATCTTCGGTGATAAGAAAGGAGTTCCAGTCTACTCCGCCAACCGACTCATGAGATGGGCTACAATCCTGTTAGGATATGACTTCGACATAGAGTATGTCAAGACTACGAAGTTTGGACAAGCAGATGGCTTGTCACGGTTGATGAAGAAGAGTCAGAATAACGAAGAAGACGTCGTGATAGCTGCCGTTGAAAACGACGTTAACTACATGTTGAAGAATTGTATTAGGAAACTACCAGTGACAGTATCAGATGTGCAATCCTACACGAAGAAGGATCCAGCACTACAAAGAGTGATGACCTACGTGAAGAAAGGGGAGTGGCCAGACGTGAATGGGGAATTGGCACATTTTCGAAATCGAAGCGAGACATTGTCAATCGTGGAGCAATGTCTGATGTCAGCCGAAAGGGTTGTGATACCCAAGGAGCTTCGAAGAAGTGTTCTGAAGGAACTACATAGTGTCATCCAGGGATTGTAAGGATGAAGAAGTTAGCTCGAAGTTACGTCTACTGGCCGAATATAGACAAGGATTGCGAAGACTTGGTACGAAGATGTACGAAATGTCAGGAGTTAGCCAAGAATCCGACGAAGGTACCATTAGAAGCATGGCCGTCAGCGACTCGAGTGTGGCAGCGAATACACATCGACTTCGCTGGACCTATGCAAGGAGTCTTCTACTTGGTAGTAGTAGACGCATATAGCAAATGGCCTGAAATGATCGAGATGACCAATATCTCGGCTGCGAAGACGGTGAAGGCTTTGAAGAACTTGTTTGCGAGGTATGGATTACCGCAAACAATAGCGAGCGACAATGGTACCCAGTTCACATCGGATTTGTTCAAGAAGATGTGTGACGAAGGTGGAGTCACCCACATAAGGACTGCTCCGTATCACCCTCAATCGAATGGACAAGCAGAGCGTTTCGTTGATACGCTGAAACGAGGAATCAAGAAACTAGAGGGGGAGGCGCACAAAATTAAGTTTGTTACTCCCGATGACAGAAGATGCAGAAGACTCGCTCGCACGAAGGAGACGGGAGCGCATGAAGGATCAGTTCGACCAGAAGCATGGAGTCGTTCGAAAGGAATTCGAAGTTGGTGACTTGGTTTACGCTAAACAGTGGAAGCCACCCCACTTCCATTGGATGAAAGGAACCGTGATGAGGCGTATTGGACGTGTCAATTATGAAGTTATGGTTGGCGACGAGGTGTGCAAGAAGCATGCAAATCAGCTACGTCATCGAAGCGATAGCGAACAGCTCGCCGTGCGACAACAACTTCATCAACAGTCCGACTCCTTGAAGATACTCCTAGATGTTTTGACAGAAGACGACACTCTACGGAGGAATAGGAGTGCAGCCGACGAGAATTCCGAGCAAGCGATCGCGAGCGATGTGCCAGCACCCGTGGATTCAACGACATCGACGTCGACATCAAGCCACGAGCCCTCCACGCCACCGACAACTCTTCGCAGGTCGAGCAGAACAAGAAGACCGGTACAACGGTTCCAACCTAGTCCATAGTATGTTATTGTATGTTTGTTTCATTAGTTTTGTAGTTGTTTGAATTTCTATGCATGACCGATTTCTTAGCTGTTCATATTCATAGTTCAAGCTTTTATCGCAGGCTAGTTTTGTGTAACTACCCTACTGGGGGAGGTGTTGTGTTAATGTCTGATCAGTTGTTTTCTCCTATGATCTGCCCTCGCTGAGGCGCCTGCGACCTCAATGCGCGGGAAATGAGCGCTATAAAAGGCGCTCGCTGTTAGCTATTGTCAGTTCGTCTGTTCACTCCTCGCCTCTTTTTATTTACTGTTCTCTATATTTATTTCTAATAAATATCCTTTGTTCCTCGCGTGCTACCTCAGAACGAAGATTCGACGTGTCCGACGCGGAGGACACAACAGTATTCAAATGGCTCCGTATTCAGATTATTCGACTTTGTTGTAGAACCAACTGCTGAGTATCAAGCTCACTTCGTCCGCGTTTTTTTTTTGCAAAACTCGGTAATGCATCTTTTGCAACCGTTATACCTTTGACCTGTATGGAGAGTCGCATTCTTCCGACTGCTTGCGACAGTAAAAAAATCATATGTGGATTTTAATTGATGTAGAAAGTAGAGCAAGCCCTTTGCTTTTACATTGTTGATGCTGATAAGAAATGAAGTTAATTCTGGTGTACATCAGTCTCTTTCAGGCCATCTGAAGAAGAATCTTTTGGGCACAGCATAAAAATTTATATCGACTGCTTTTTAGATCGTCCATAATGGGTAAAATCTGACTTTTTGCTGATGTATAGACTAGATGCCGACCGACTGACTTTATCGATTTTTGGGGAAGTTTGAGCTGCGAGGCCGAGAGTTGGTACAAGGGGGGGGGGGAAGTGAGGGTGCTGATTATGGATAAAAATTTACTTCATAAATTTTGAACTGATTACTTTGATTTTGCTGTAAATAAATATACTCATGGAAACTCTAATGTTAGTATTAAAATTAAAATAGCTATTATATACGGCGAGATCCTAAGAATTTACAGAACTTGCACAAGTTTCGATAGCTTTGAACAAAGATTATTGCTTCTGATGAATAAACTTTATGCACTTGATTATAGTGCTGATATTATTAAAAATGCATTTATAAAATGTCTCACTTTCAAAATGTATTTTCCATAAATATCCGGAACTTCATTCATTTAAAAACTCTAAACATTTTATAAAGTGCATAATTCAAAAACTTGATTTTTGTGTCTCAGATCGTGGATCATAATTATTTTGCTCTACCCGAATGGTATATAAACCTTGAGGTATAAATACAGCAACATCCAAGGCCAAACCATTAGTCTTCCATTCAAGCCACTCTTCCCTACTGAAGAGCCTCGAGAGTGGTCTACTCTTCTTGATACCTGTATAGGGGTAGAGGCGAAACAGGCCATACTGTATATTATCAATGCTAACATTCTTCTATTATTAATACTAAGGTTATGTATGTCCTTGAGGGCAACCCAGGATGTGCATTAACCTTAGTCGGTATCTGTTTCCCCATATAGTATTAAACATAGTATTCTCCGTTTTTTGAACACTCATAGCCAACTGGCTTTTCTGAACCAACTGGTCAGCTATCAACGGATAGCATCTTTCCTCATCTATATTCCTCTGCAAGATATTTCCGGATTATTATTAGAAAAATTTTTTTACAAAGCTGTTTATAAAAATTTTTTTCCATTTATGACTCCTCCGCTAAGTTCTGTTCACATCTAATACAATATAAATCAGCTGTTATTCCAATCAAGAGGTAAAACATTCATTAACTCAAACATCTAACAATAACTCGAACACAAAACGATTGAAAGATCCTTCAGAGATTCTCCTGAGGTATGCCTTGAAATGAATAATACAGTAGAGAATAGTTTACTGAACTAAACTACAGCTACCTACCACGTAAAAAATTTCCATTCAAGCAATTATGAACGCGATGTAGGTGGCATATCCGCCTTAAAACGTTAATATTAAATTATGAACGTTCTATAAGATAATTTAACAAAATAAATATTAAAAATAATAAATAATTGGAAACTAAAATAAAATCATATTCAATTCACTTACTTTCTTATATTTCTTAGGTTGACCACTTTCTTCGCGGTTTTCTGTAGAGGGACGTTTCTTCTTTTTTACCTATAAAATTTCAGTTACGCATAAAACAATAAATAATAATAATATTAATAAGATTATAAAAATAATAATCGAATGTATTTATAATATATATAAAAAAATTATAGTAAAAAATATTAAAAAATTCACTTACCACTTCTGACCAATTTTCCTTATTAGCTTGCAACATTCTCCCTTCTGCTTGCTCCTCAGCAGTAAGCCCAGGTAACGCGAGGTCACCCAGAATCAAGCTACCAGCCTAAAATACATTGAGTTTATATCACCTACACTCAATTTTTTCACACCAACCTCTTGCTCCTTTTTTAAACGGAGATCCATTAACTCTTCAAGCGGCGTTCCATGCCACTCAGGTACCTTCCACTTTAAACGGTGACAAAGTACTACAGGATCGTACTAAAGCTGCTCATAATATTTTAATTTTTGAATATTATATTACTTACAGTCCCTACTCCATTGATTTCCACTTTATTGTGTCTGATGCGAATTTCCGGGGCACGTTTTTTCGCGTTCTGGTAACATTCCTTGATTTGAATACGTAGTAATAAGCTAAAATAATATAATCATGATCACCATTACTCAGTATCCAATACACTTACCACAAGCGGTTGAGATCAGTTTGTCTGATCGTTTGTTCCTGCATAATGACAATCTTGGTACCGTTTTCATTATTGTACCTCTTAAGGTTTTCTTTACCACCAGACAGAAACCACTTCCAGAATAAATAAGAGGTTTTCACCTAAAACTTCAATTAGTTAATCCCCTTAATCTAATTCACAACATACTACACTACTCTGAATAATAATGGAATACTTTGCATTATTCTCCACTACACTCTACCTCGCGCCATACAACACAATCACCCGCTACTACAACTTACATACTATTACGTTGTCCGGAAATTAATGCCCGTTTTGAATTTCAACCGCATTAGGTCATAAACTTCTCACTTCTAAATAGGTTTTAAAGTACCATTCGATAGAACAAATCAAGCTCTACAAGATGGCTATCTTGCTTTTGCAACCGCTCTCATCCACCGCGAGTTTCGAGCCAAAAACTAAAGAGACTCAGCAGCCCAAAAAATCGAAAAAAATCGTAACTCAGTTCATAAAAATCCTACAAAACTTCTTACTTGCTCACGTAAACACTATCCATATAAAACATCTATACACGCTTTTGCCGTATTTTTTCCTCTGTTAGAGATCAGGAAAACGGAAATTGTCGTGCATTTGCCAAAGTAATGCTGTGCCGTCCCCACATAGGTAGTTGTATACCACAAGCCTGTAGAAGTACAAACGTAAATTTTCAGCTCTTTACAAGCTTTAGTTCTCGAGAAATACCGAATATAGCTTTCCCTAGTTAGGGGGTCCAAGCTTAAATTCAAATTTCTCGAGAACTAAAGCTTGCAAAGAGCTGAAAATTTATGTCTGTACTTCTACAGGCTTGTGGTATACAACTACCTATGTGGGGACGGCACAGCATCACTTTGGCAAATGCACGAAAATTTCCGTTTTCCTGATTTCTAACAGAGGAAAAAATACGGCAAAGGCGTATATATGTAGATGTTTTATGTGGATAGTGTTTACGTGAGCAAGTAAGAATTTTTGTAGGATTTTTATGAAGTGAGTTACGATTTTTTTCGATTTATCGGGCTGCTGAGTCTTTTTATTTTTGGCTCGAAACTCGCGGTGGATGAGAGCGGTTGCAAAAGCAAGATAGCCATCTTGTAGAGCTTGATTTGCTCTATCGAATGGTACTTTGAAACCTATTTAGAAATGAGAAGTTTATGACTTAATGCGGTTGAAATTCAAAACGGGCATTAACTTCCGGACAACCTAATACACCACACCACACCACACCACACCACACCGCACCACACCACACCACACCACACCACACCACACCACACCACACCACACCACACCACACCACACCACACCACACCACACCACACCACACCACACCACACCACACCACACCACACCGCACCATACCACGCCACGCCACACCACACCACACCACACCACACCACACCACACCACACCACACCACACCACACCATACCACACCATACCACACCACACCATACCACACCATGTCATACCACACCACACCGCACCATACCACGCCACGCCACACCACACCACACCACACCAACCACACCACACCACACCACACCACACCACACCGCACCGCACCATACCACGCCACGCCACACCACACCACACCACACCACACCACACCACACCACACCACACCACACCACACCACACCACACCACACCACACCATACCACACCATACCACACCACACCATACCACACCATGTCATACCACACCACACCATACCATACCACACCATACCACACCACACCATACCACACCATGTCATACCACACCACACCATACCATACCACACCATACCACACCACACCATACCACACCATGCCACACCACACCACCCCATACCATACCATACCATACCACACCATACCATACCACACCATACCACACCATGCCATACCACACCACACCATACCATACCACACCATACCACACCACACCATACCACACCATGCCACACCACACCACACCATACCATACCATACCATACCACACCATACCATACCACACCATGCCACACCACACCACACCATACCATACCATACCATACCACACCATACCATACCACACCATGCCACACCACACCACACCATACCATACCATACCATACCATACCACACCATACCATACCACACCTCACCACATCACACCACACCACGCCATACCACACCACATCACAACACTCCATACTACACCACACATACACAATACATACACACTATATTAACATAGATTCATACACATAAATAAAAAACCATATTTTTTAAAACACAATATAACACAAATAATTCTCAAAATTGTATAAAAATATCACAATATACAATTAAAAAGAATGATTAAAAACTGACTGTTATTCCCATTGTTGTGGATCCCACACCACGAGGGCGAGGCCATGAGAATGGGGTACGATCCTCGCTCCGATCGTATCTAAATAGTCGTAATCGAGACAGCAATTATTACATATTTAAAAGAAAATTATAACAATAAAAAATAGAAAATAAAAAATATAAAATTTTTTTTAAAACGTACCCCAACAGATTTTTGATATCGTCCATTAGTAAGTCGAAATCTTTTTTCATCCTGATTGGTATGTTTATAATCCTTATGTATTCCGACATTACGCGACCGGCCAATGTTTCATTAAACCGCTCCTTCCTTTCCTGTTGATCCATTTCTGAAATAACTATATAACAATCTGCAAACATCATTTCTAAGAAAAACAACATCATATCAAAAAATTTAACAAGAGCGCTGAGGAGAAATGCATCAAAAATAACAATTTTAGGCCAACGTCATTGCAAGATTTGGTTTATCCTACAGTATCTCCTTATCATCAGTGGAGCATATTTACGTGTATTGACCTTATAACATCTTTCGTTGCCGCATTCTTAACATTAAGGGGTTGTCACTAACAGACTTAACTTAACATGCCTAATTTATTTCCAATAAATATTTTTATACATACATAAACATAAGGGGTTAGGTTGTTACCTTACCTCAGGTTAGTTTAGTTTTTTTCTTTTTAATTTTTTTTTCAGTAATATTACCGATGGGTTTACACAAGTGGCTACTGGCATGGGAGGGTAAGTATCTGCGCCTCCGGTATATTACTTATTTTAGGGAGCGCCAACCCCTGGGAGCAGTCCTTCCGCAACTTAGGTAACCTTCCCTCTGCTATAGGATTAGGCCATTCTTTAGCTTACAAGGGAATGGTCAGAAGTCGAAGTGGCCAATTCATACAAGCTGCATACCATTCGATGCAGCATAGAATGCTGATTTCAAATCTGTCTTCCATATCTGCAGAGCGCCTTTGTGGACGAAGTTATGAGCAGCTTTACTGCGAAAAAATTGTATACAAAAACTGCCAAATTAAGCACATTATTGCTCTTTCAGCTCACCTCTAGGCATGGGTCATATGAAGCGACCTAGTTGCATGTTTTGACCCAACATTGAGCCGAGAATGGCTTTGTACGGCAAAGTTTGCACTTTACACGCACAATTTCTTAGCAAAATAATGGCCTTCAACGGCTTATAACTTCCTCCACAAAAGCGCTCTGCAGATAAGAAAGATAGATTTAGAATCAGCGTTTTATGCTGCATCTAATGGTACGCAGCTTGTACGTATTGGCCACTTCGACTTCTGACCATTCCCTTGTTAGGTTATAGGCTTAAAAATAAAATTACATACACAAGTTACTCATCTGATTCTTATTTTCAGGCTGCGTCTTTTACTAGGAGTAAGGTAAATGGCGAATACAACCTAATGCAATTTGGTAATGATAATGCAGGCGCAAAATGTAGTTCAAAATGCATTATATGCCAAAAATTTCTTGACAGTAATAACTATATATATTCCCATACCACAAGTTTACGGATTAAAACACATAAAACCACTACAGCTACTTGCACGTCTAAAAATGTTATATACTGCATAACATGTTCAGACTATGGATTTCAATATGTTGGCATTACTACTAAAAAACTTAGTATTAGAATAAAAGAACATTTACGGGGTATAAAAAATAAAAACGATAATAAACTATTGTATAAGCAAAATGAAATAGGGACTTGTAATAGTGAAAATTTAAAGGTTAACATACTGGATAATGCACCTGAAAACGCTGACACTACTATTCTAAGAAATAAGGAACTATTTTGGATCAAATTATTGATGACACCATATCCCTTTGGTTTCAACGATAACATAAAAGGCTATGGCAATCTAAGCACCATTAGTAATCCACTTTTCCATAAAGCCAACCATCCCTTTTTCAATCTAAAAATAACCAAGTTGAGAAACAATTGCGGAATTAAGAAAATTTCTAGAGCCAAATGCAAGACTAACTCACAGTTTATAACCACCGAAGTGCAAGACTTCATAGTTAGCAATCCCTCCTTTTATCAATTATATAAATTTATAAAAAGTAAAAACAAACATTACATTTCCACACTCATAAACATTATTACGCTTAATAATACTCAACTTAAGCTCCCAACTGAGTTTAAATATGCACTTTGTAGTATACTTTGTTACTACTATTTCGATAAGCCACAGCCTGCAACCGTTAAAACCAATTATTTGAACATTAAGTTTCCATTTTATAACTCTATACTTGATAAATTTAACGTCAATAGAATAATAAATAATAAGACGGTAAAAAACATAATAACCCTCAGAAGCATCAAGCAATATCTACCCGTTAGATTAATATACCAGTACTTTAAACAATCTTCTAGCTATTTATATAATTATAACAAATTTTTAATGTCTCTTGATCGTCTGAACAGTACCAGTTTACCGTGCATATGTGCACGTTACAGTCGTTTTATAGATCCAAGTCACAAGCATATAGTTACAGGTAATATTGAACTTTTCAGAGATAGTCCTATATATGATGTTCTTCTCAAAGGTACCAAATTTCGTTTTCCGTCCCAACATTCATCTATGCAGATTAGAAAATTTTGGATGAATTTGTTCGAAACAATTGCCGTTAAACATAAAAATAGACACACTCTTTCCTCCAGTATCTCAAACATTTTATACAGCACGTTATGTAGACATTTCTTCAGTAATAATAACAGACTTATATATTACAATCGCAAACCAAATAATTATGAACTTCCTATCCATGAAATTAGAAAATTCCAAAAATTCTTCATATTCTGCCCATTAGATAAAGCCAGCTCAAATTACGGTATAATTTGTAAGCGTTTTTATTTAACCGTCCTCATGCGAGAAATGGGAATAGAAGATACCAGCAATTTTCGGTCAACCATTTACAACTATATCCCTGATACCGACCTTAACAATATAATAACTAAACATTTAAACTTTATACACAATTTGAATTTAAAACCTATAAACAACCCTATTGTTCCTAATATTTATTGGTTACCTAAACTGCATAAAACACCAGTTAAATTTAGGTTTATAACAGGAGCCTCAAATAGTAGTATGAAACCCTTATCTGAAGAAATTATGCATATATTTACATTTTTTAAAAAACATTTTAGGAACTACATAAAAATAGTTCGACTTCATAAGAATAGTCTTGAAACATATTGGTCTATCAATGATATAAACATTTCCCACCAATTGCAAACTATAACTGATCAAAAGCTACAGCTTTTCTCAGCAGATTTTACTAACATGTTTACTAATATTTCCCATTCTGTCATTCTACACAATCTTACTGAAGTAATGAAAATTTGCATCAAAAATAGTAATAGTAGATACATAACATGCAGCGACAGAACTATTTACTATTCTAATACTGCTACTGATAAAACTGGACAAAGAAGCTATAAAATAGAAGATATCATTTATCTCTTAGAATATTTGCTTGATAATAGTTATAGCAAAATAGGACAAAACATTTTCAAACAAAAGATAGACCTGCCACAAGGTGGCAATGCTAGCCCTGTCTTGGCAGATTTAACACTCTCCTACCTAGAATACGTATATGGCTCTAACCATCCTGGAACTGATATTTTGTTCAAACCTTTCGGATATATGGATGATCTACTGATTATTCATAACCAAAAGGAAAACCGCATTCTGAATTTACTAGATAAAACATATAATAATATTTTGGAGCTGGAAAGCACACACTTAAATAGTAGTAATTGTAACTTCCTTGACATGAAAATTATGATCAAAAATAACAGAGTCTACACAGAACAGTATAACAAAACTGATTACTTTGATTTTGCTGTAAATAAATATACTCATGGAAACTCTAATGTTATTATTAAAATTAAAATAGCTATTATATACGGCGAGATCCTAAGAATCTACAGAACTTGCACAAGTTTCGATAGCTTTGAACAAAGATTATTGCTTCTGATGAATAAACTTTATGCACTTGATTATAGTGCTGATATTATTGAAAATGCATTTATAAAATGTCTCACTTTCAATAAATGTACTTTCCATAAATATCCGGAACTTCATTCATTTAAAAACTTTAAACATTTTATAAAGTGCATAATTCAAAAACTTGATTTTTGTGTCTCAGATCGTGGATCATAATTATTTTGCTCTACCCGAATGGTATATAAACCTTGAGGTATAAATACAGCAACACCCAAGGCCAAACCATTAGTCTTCCATTCAAGCCACTCTTCCCTACTGAAGAGCCTCGGGAGTGGTCTACTCTTCTCGATACCTGTATAGGGGTAGAGGCGAAACAGGCCATACTGTATATTACCAATGCTAACATTCTTCTATTACTGCACAGTATACTTGGGTCCGAATCGAATGGAAATTCGATCATTCGAATAAAACATTCGAATATATTCGTATTCGAAATTCGATATTCGGAGTTCTTCCATTTTCGAAAAATATTCGAAACTCGAATAATCAAAAAACAGGGTTTCGAATATTATTCGAAAACTCGAATAGTCAAAAAACGGGGTTTCGAATAGATTTTATTCGAATGTTTTATTCGAATGTTTATTCGAATTCGTATTCAAATGGCTCCGTATTCAGATTATTCGACTTTGTTGTAGAACCAACTGCTGAGTATCAAGCTCACTTCGTCCGCGTTTTTTTTGCAAAACTCGGTAATGCATCTTTTGCAACCGTTATACCTTTGACCTGTATGGAGAGTCGCATTCTTCCGACTGCTTGCGACAGTAAAAAAATCATATGTGGATTTTAATTGATGTAGAAAGTAGAGCAAGCCCTTTGCTTTCACATTGTTGATGCTGATAAGAAATGAAGTTAATTCTGGTGTACATCAGTCTCTTTCAGGCCATCTAAAGAAGAATCTTTTGGGCACAGCATAAAAATTTATATCGACTGCTTTTTAGATCGTCCATAATGGGTAAAATGTGACTTTTTGCTGATGTATAGACTAGATGCCGACCGACTGACTTTATCGATTTTTGGGGAAGTTTGAGCTGCGGGGCCGAGAGTTGGTACAAGGGGGGAAGTGAGGGTGCTGATTATGGATAAAAATTTACTTCATAAATTTTATCGATTTTTGGGAAATCTCGAGCTACGAGCTTGGGAGTTGGTACAGGGGGGTAAATGAGGATGCTGATTGAAACCGAAATCTATTTTGTCGATTTCAGCAATTTTTGGAAAATTTTGAGCTAGGAGTTGGTATAGGGGGCTGATTATGATTGGATCGGCTCTAGCCAGATACGTCGGCAAGTTTGAGATGTG